GGACTAGTCAGACACATTTCTATGCAAATTCCTTGGTAAGTAAAAATACAGTCACCTTTTTATTCTGTTCAGGATAAAATAACTCCTTGACCCAAAACAAAAACCATAACTAACATTTGCAGTCATAGCCTAAACTGATTATGATGTGTTCCCATATTTCTGATGCCATTATCTAGGTGGCAAGTGATCTTGCCCGATGTCGTCTCATTAAAATTGTATGTGGTTTAGGCCAGAATTTTGGGAATGAGTAGCAAACTGACAAATAATATGAATTGGAAGGTATTCTCTAAGGTCCCTTGCAGAATATGTGTTCTAGATTTAGCAGTAGTGCTAAAAATAGAAGCAATATAATTTTCTTCATTTGTATGACTGTGGGAAATATTAGCAAAGTATTACAGGTATAGAAGTCAAGAGCTTTTCTTTCATGTGTCGTTTATGTACTGCATTTATGTCCCAACTATAAAATAAAACTATGCAGGCAGAGAGCATCCTTGGGTAATTATAGCAAAATAACACTAGCAGAAGATAATAAGCAGTAATTTGGTTGCAAAGACTAGAACAAATGAGTCCTAGATGATTACTTATAAATAAAATATTTCTCATTAAAAGGTACTGGTGGAGAATCTTGGTCCCAGATATATCACAGGAAAAAAATCCTATTAATTTCAGTGAATGGAGGATTTTTCTTTCTGATGATTTCTTATTACAATAATTTAATAGCATCTCAAGAGAAGTCTTAAATCTAATTTGTCAGCTTGTCTGCACTGTTTATTTGTTTGCACTGCATTCTGGTATTCTTTGAAGTTAATTTTATTAAATGATATAAAATGCAAAACACAACCTAAGCAATCTATGAATAATAACCGGGTAAAGGATTTATATCTTATTGGTTTTTTTCAATTTTGTGCATGTTACATACCATATTTGTTCAGAGATTATTTTCTTACATTGCTTTTCCCAAAATATGGATTAATTACATCAGATTTTCTACAACCACACTGGGACTATGGAAGTTGTGAAGATGGTTTTTTCAGTATATGCTATTGCCTTGGTCCCCACTTTCTGAATTGGCCTACTTGCTGTTTTCACAAGTCCTATTTTTACTCACTGAATGAGAATTCACTTTTCAAGACAATAAATAGTGCATTGTGAGTTCTCAGCTTGGTCTTACATCAAGGCATCATAAGGTTGTGTGCCTCAACTTGAAAGGTGTTTCAGACACCTCATGAGTAGCTGATGACACTATTTACAAGAAAACCTTTTTTAATTTCATTCCATTTTGTACTTTAAAAAGAATTGGCACCTGGTCCCCCTGTGAATTCTATTTTAGGGTATCCAAAAATTTATTACTTCCTAAAAAATACTATATATAGTCCTATAAAATTTTCTTGGTGATGTGTTATGCACAGTTACTGAGGATTATGAAAGGAAAGTACTTGAAGAGATTAGGCTGCTTTTACCAGCTAAAAGAAGCCCTATCAGAATGTATTATAGAGTGTTGAGCTCAGTAACACTGTACCTTCAAACCAGTTAGCTCTTCTGCTTATATTTTATAATTCATGAAAACTGATTTAGAAATATTTTATATGACACATATTTAAGTGTTTGGCAATTTTTGAAAAAGCCCAAGTTCTACAAATGTACTTAATGCTTAGAAGTCAATATATATACATAAATATATTTGTACAAAATTATAACAACCTACGCTATCTCACTGAGGCAAGCATTCAACAAATGGTTCTAAGGAACTGTGATATTCAAAAACATGAAGAAATCACTACAGTGACAGTGAAGTAGATCAATATTCCTGAGAGTGCCTATTCCTATTTAAAATTAGAATTCAGAACAGTCACCGTAGTGAGCACTGTGAGACTCAAGTCAGCCCACAGGAACATGAAAGATAACAACATGTGAAACTCTCTGTCTCATGTGTTTATGTCACTTCTGTAGTTGCACATCTGTGTGAAACTGTGTGCTTAGGTGAGTGTGTCTGATCTCTCCTTTCTTTCTTTGGCACTATGAAGTAGTCATTGAAAAAGTCTGGTCCCTGTTCACTGCTTATGCATTTTGCAGTAATGAAAATGCAAAGAAGAAAAGAACCATGCTCAGAACATAAGAAACCACAAGAGGAAGTAATCCAGAATCCCCAAGACTCTGTACTTTGAGGGCAGTGCGACTGCTGTCACATCATTCTGCATCACCTTGTACATCTGCTACATCTGCAAAATGTGCAGCTCCAGTTACACAGGCCTGCACTGCAGCTTCTTTGATAGGAGACATGAATTAAATCGGTCTTACTGGGTATATGCTTAACTAATTTACCCAGTTTTTGCCATCTAGAATTTGAACATCTAGTTTAAGTAGTTTAAGCTGATTGTTACACTTCTAACAGAGTATGATATATTGGAGTAGAGATGCATCCAGAGTCTATTCGAGAGAACCAGTTTTTCCCAGGTTAAACCAGGATATAGGAACTGTTATTCAGAGATTCTCTAAAACAAAGGAATAACTATGGTGACTAGATTGAAATACTTTGCATTCCTGACTTGATAACTTAAAACTCACAACATTTCCCTACTCTTATTTTTGCTAAAAGAACCCTTCATCATGTGGACATCTTTGGGGGAAATTCATTGAAGATCACTCAAAAGGAACACATAATTCTTTCATTCATTCATGCACTGTCAGTAAAATTTTATTCCTTACACTTTAGACGAAGAGTGTTTAATCATTTCTGCAAAGAAATTGTCAGTTCTATGAGTTTGTTTTGCTATCCTGATGGTTGAAGTGAAGTTTAGTTGGGATTAGTCCTCTTCACACTATAGACCTGATTTTGCAGTGTACTTAAGTAAGAGTCATTGCTAAGTAGGAGTCTCCAAAACCACTGTTATGCATAAATTGAAGTGTGTTCCTGAGTCATTCCTGTGGTTTGGTGTGACTGTCATTCTCTTTCCTCTGAGTGGGAATGAAGTGCATGGCAAAATTGTATGGAAATGTCAAAGTACCGCAGTTCTATAGATCCTTCATCTTCACTTGAACTTAATCTGACTCGGAATAAGGCCAGGTACCCTGGGATTTTGCCTGCCCGTCTAAGGGTCCTTGTTAATGCTACATCTCTTTCCTGGCTTCTCCATACATCATCAGAGAAGAGAAAGATGATAGCTCATTTCTTCAATTGTTTTCTCCTGACATAAAGAGACAATCAATGCCCTTTACATTTTTCATAGCTTAAATAGATTTGATGTTCCTGAAGAAAGGCAATGGTCTTGATCTTCTGACAAGATTTTTTGAGTTACATAGATCTGTAAAAAAAAGAAGTTTACAAAGTAGGTAGGAATAGGGCCACCTGAATGCTCTATTGGATTGTTTTGTTTTGTTGAACTCACAATATAAGTAAACATCATTGATCAAAGAAGGTCAAATGAATTGCACACACCTAGAGATAAGGGAAGCTATTCTATTTTCTGTAGCACAGATTGGTGGACTCAGGAGAACAGCATTTGAAATAAATATATTTTCTTCTAAATTGTCAAATTCCTCTAGTTTATTTGAAAGCAGAATGCCCTTAACTCTGCTTATTATGTTTATTATGGCAGGTGGGAGCTCACCTGTCACATACTCACAGAGAATGAAAGTGCTGCTGAGACTAGGTGTTTATTTTTATCTGGAAGGGGCAACTACATAGAGAAAATTTTTGAGAAAAATTCTAGCACTTGCTGTGTGTATTGTGCACAGTTACGATGTTGCCCTTTTGGTTTCTTTCATTTTCAGATTATTAAGACAAATACAGCAAACTTTATTTAGCTTGGTGATGGTGAGAGATTTTTGCCAGTCATTAAGATGAGAAGGTGAACACACACTGAAGCAAAGAGGCCTGCATAGATTTAGGACAGTTGAAAATCTGACCTCCTTCAAATTCTCTCTAATTCCCAGTAGATACTAAATCTTTCATAGGTATAGAAAAAGGGCACAGATGGAAGTATCATCCCCTGAGAGGAAATAATTTACGATCCCTTAGGCAAAAAGTTTGCCTTCAGTTTCTGTACTGTCCGGTGGCAGTGAAATTATTGTTTCCTCAAAGTAACAACACAATGTGAGTGATGTTTTATTCTAATTATTTGAAACAAATTTTATTCTAATTATGTGAAATACTATTGGAAGCACAAAGAAAAGTTTTAATGCCCAAAATACCTGAAGGGTGAGGGGATATCTTTAAATGAGGCTGAGAAGACATATAACAAAAAGTAGCACTTTTCCAATTTTAAGCAAAGTAATGGGTTTTTTCCTACATAAATCCACATTAGATATATTTTAAAAAGAGATGTTTTTCTAGAAAACTGTAAATTTTATTAACTAGTTGTTTATTTTGTAGAGCAATCTGTCTTTTTTTTTTTCAACAAGACACAATGTAGTCCATAATATAATATTTTGAAAGACCACTAATGTAGTTAGAACTAATGATCTACTCAAATTCCTCATTAAGCTCTCATAAGTAAACTCTAAATATGTTCTCATCACAGAGGTTTTTTTGTGATTTTATAATTTAAAAATAGATATTTGTTTCTAATTTGATTTGCCCTTTATGATATTACTAGATTTTTCAATGTGGAAAGAAAAAGGAGATTTGTATGTCAGGTCATTACTTCAGATAGAGATAGGAAACCCATGGATTGTCAGTGGAAAAAAAAATCTTTGGTTTTTGACAGGACAATGAATTTATAATCCTTCTCTTTTTTTGATTAATCAGCATTAAATATAGATAAAGGAATTTCAGAGTAAATTTCACAAATCTAGTCTGACAGATGTGAATCAAATACTGTCAAAGTACAATACATCTGTATGATCAAAGAGGTATCTGACCACAGAACACTACATTCATTTAATTATGCATCATGGAGGGGTTAAAAATTCCCTTGGAATGAGATCAGGTGTTTCTGATACAATTTGACATTGACTTGCTTGTGTATGATTTTTTATGTTTTGGATTTTTTTGCCTTTAGGCTGTGCTTTGGAGGTACAAGTTTTCCCAGCTCAAAGGTTCTTCAGATGATGGGAAGAGCAAAATCAAGTTTTTGTTCCAAAACCAAGATACTAAACAAATTGAAGCAAAGGTAAAAACAATACCTTGTTTGTATAAAGGCAATGTACAATTTTCAAAGCAACCAGGGGAGTAAAGGAGTATAATAAACTAAGTAACTGGGAAATATTAGATTAATGCACAAAGAATGCAAATAAAACCAAAGAAATTGAAGAAAACTGGATCAATTACTTGGACAATTTTCTAGTTTAAAGTCTTTTGAAAGGTTTAATTAGATTAAAAATTTATAAAATGCAGGACTTCCTATGTATGGTTTTAGGCGTCATTGCAAAATCTCCTCTTTGTCATTTTGATAAAGCTAACTGAGAGATTAGTGCCTCTTTTTCACCCTGTAGTTGTATCATGAAGAAATCGTGCAAAGTATATGCTTAAGTCAACCTGGGAACAAAACTTAGCAAAGGTCTAAAATCTGGTTTTGTTTCTCAGAGAAAAAAAAAAAAAGTGGATTGAAGACATACTCCCTGACAAGGCTGAAGCTTTGTGTCTGTGTCCAATGCAAACTAAAAGTTGTGTTTTCAGTTGTGCTTTTGATTCAAGTGTTAGTTCACGAAAACAGTAGCTGTGAGAGATTTAGCCTTGCTTCAGTTTATGTCTTTCGAGAATAGGACATTTACTGTCCAGTGTGTGTGAGGAGTGATCTCCCTGGGTCTCTGATAATTGAAACTGCCTTACAGTCTGGATCAATTTTCTTTTTGACTAGAACCCCAATTTTAGTGTATACCTAAAGACTATTTTCTTGACCATCTTTAAGCCTTGCTTTTGAAGTATTTCCTATACTATTTTTCCTGACCACATCAGAGAGAAAATTGCTGACCGAATGAGATAATAAAACACTTCCATGAGCAAAAAGGAAATAGTTAAATAAATTGTACAAAAATGCTAAATATGAACAGGATCATAAAGTGTGTAAAGAAAAATGCATTGCTTTGGCCACACTTATGACTTTAAATGCCAATAGCTACATTAAGTAGCTATTTTTCCTTCCTCTATGTCTCTTTATGTTTGATGTTAATTATTTTCTACCCAGCAGCTATTTACTTGGTTTTGAATGTTTTACTCAATACAATAAAGGTATGTAAAAGTTCCAATTAAATCAACAGCAATGACATGTGATGACCATGGTTTTCATTACATCCATGTTCTACTGCATCTCAAAGATGAATATTTTCTTCTGATTACCTTCAGAAATTTTTTTAATAGTACAGAACTTTTTTTCACCTGTAAGAAGAAAATGCAACCTAATCTAATGTCATGAGGATGATTTTCTCTTAAGGAAATTGTAAAATTTCATCTTACTGAAGGATGAAAGTGGTTATTCTTTTTCTAATATCTGTCTGCTAATAGCTGTCATATTAACATGTGATTTTAAGACTGAAGAAAATTCATAGGACTCTAAGAGTGGGACAGTATTAGGGTTTTTTTGTTTGGTTTTGTTTTATTGGTTTGGTTTTTTTCATTACTTTTCTTAAATTGGTAAAATTAGAATATATTTTTAATACTGAATTACATTTTAAAAAATATTTTTAAAAAGTATGAAGTCTAGATTTTGAAGAAGAAAATAGTTTTCATGAAAATGTTTTAAAATTATATCTGTCATGCAAATCACTTTATAAGCCTTAGAGATATCCTGGTACCTTTATTGTACCTTTGGTTATTCCCACTCAATTACCTTCTCTTTACTAGAAATATAAACTTTCATCTTAATCGATTTTGAAACAAACATTTGTGACAGTCATTTAATTTTCTTGGTGATCAAAGCATATCATCTATATTATGATCAAAGATGCCAGATTATATTCTCTTTGGAAGGTGCTATAACATTTATAATGGCCAATTCTATAAATTCCAATTTGTTTACTTATTAAATATGTTGCTTAGTCAAAGAAATGTAAAAAAGTGTGGCTAGAAAATGAATGTGAAGGTTCTTGGGTCATATATTTTGAACACTCACTGGTTAGCTTAAAATTCTATGGATAGCCCCCTTCAGTAACATTTAAACCTTTCACGGATTTAAAGCACTATTTAGCGTGAGGAGAGGTGGAACAGTCTAGCCTTAATTTTTTTTGGCTTTACATTACTAAGTTAGACGTATACCTGTGTGCAGAACTGTTGAGTCATTAGAAAATGTTAAGCAGATTTTCAGAAATGCTTGTCGTGCCAGATTTCATGCATGCTGTATGCAGGCTTCATTTGGAATCAGACGAGGGAAATTTTGTAAAACATCTGTTGAAGGTTGGGATGAATATTCATGGCAACAGCTTTTATCACCTGTTAAATGCAGCTCTGTTTTTCAGATGGCCTGGAGACCCACTGTCATAAGGGGAAATACAGTGCAACATTTTCCTTATGATTATGGGGTTTTTTGAGTTATATTATATAGGGAATAATCAGAATGCAGTAAAATGAGACCTCACAGTAGAGAATAGCAAAAATTTGAGGGGCCATTGCACCAGTTTATTAGGGCTCTTCAATTCTGCATTCCCAAGCAGGAATCTGGAAGCAGGGTGTGGCAAGTACCTTTCAATGCACCTCAAAACCTGTGTAGAGTTTTGGGCCCCCCACTGCAAGAGAGGCACTGAGGTGCTAGAGTGAGTCCAGAGAAGGGCAACAAAGCAGGTAAAGGGGCTGGAACACAAGTGTTATAAGAGCCACCCAAGGGAGCTGGGAGGAAAGGAGGCTCAAGGGGGATCTTGTTCTCTACAACTACCTGAAAGGAGGTTGTAGCCAGGTGGCGGTCAGTCTGTTCACATGAATAACAAGCAGTAGGTCAAGAATGGCCTCAAGTTACACCAGGGGAGTTTTAGATTGGATACTAGGAAAAATTTCTTAACCAAGAGTGTTTTCAAGCATTGGAACAGATTGCCCAGGGAAGCGGTAAGAGTTATCATCCCAGGAATCCTTTAAAAGACGTGTATATGTGGCACCTGTGTGGACTTGGCAATGTTGGGTTAATTGTTGGACTTGATGGTCTTAAAGGTCTTTTCCAACCTAAATGATTCTGTGATCCTATATCATTCCTTCACAGAAAAATATGAGTTATCAAAATCCAGATGCTTCCTATCTTCCTTCATTTACAAGGCGGCATACTTTGTGTATTTCATGCTATCCCAGATGTGTGATTATGGCATGTTACACCTTTGCTCTAGAACATTTATTCATGACCTACAGAATTAAGGTGGTCAGAGTGCTTAGCTATTGAATTTTGATCCAAAATTTAGATAAATTTGTCATTATTCTAGAAATATATTACAACTTGTAGATGCATATGTCTTGTGAAAAAAATATGTATGCATCAGCGTTTTAAATTTTAGCCATACTATCTTGATAATTGTCCAGCACCTCCTCTGTATTCTGGTGGAATATACAAAGATATCACTGTTAATGTTAGAAGAATCAAGAGAAAATACATTTTTTGAGAAGTCCAGCACCACATCCCTTCATCAGGTAGCTTTTTTATTTTGTTGAGAAACATACTTGCCATTAAAATTTATATTCCTAAGTGAAAGTGACTTCACTGACACTGAATTACTAATATTCATATATTGTCAATATTTTTTTACAGTGTGCTTCATGCCTGACTTAAAGAAATTCAAAATGGCTTGCTTTAGATACACAACATGTGCTATGGATTTAGTTACACTTTTACTTGTTACCTGGGATACTTCTTGTCAGCTTTTAAATAATGTTAGATAATTAAATGTTACAAATATTGCTGTTTATTTTCTATAGAGCACTGATCTGTACTGATGGTTTTGTTTGCCTTTTCTCTAAGTTAAATCTTGTTACTACAAAGATATATAATGTAGAATAAAAGAAGTGTTTCCTCATAGATTTAAGCAGTTCCAGTCTGAAAAACCTGAACAATAATTACCATAGGTCACACCAGTGGGTCCATGGCAGGGTGCCTGGAAACAAACACCTGACTTTGATGGTCTCCAAGGCAAAGTCTAAGTGGTTTCTGACAATAAAACCACTTAAGGGCAACATTAATCACCAGTACCCCTTAGACATTCCAATCTGTAGGTTATTTCCCAGCTGTCACTCAGCAGGAGATATTGCATGAGTTTGCACAGTCAGACAGAAATTTTCTGAGTAAGAGCTACAAAATAGAGCTGTCGGCTTGGCAGAACATGGAGCCAATGTGTCCCTATATTTGTTCTTACTGAGCTGCTGGGAGGGGTTAAAAAAACCCAAGCACAGAAGGGCAGAGCTTTCTCTTCCTCTTGTAAGGGATTCACTTAGGCACCTTCCTATCTAGTTTTCTGTCTGTTTACCTGAGATTTTAGCTGTAGTTTAATGATCCATTTTTTCTCCATTATATCACAGAAGCCTCCAGAGACTAACACAATCTCAGGACTGTAATAAACTCAGAGTATTGTAATCTTCAATTTTACCTGACTAAATATTAGGCCACTGCAGTAGAAACTGCTTTTTATTTTTCTGACAAAAAGGAAGAGTCCCTTAAATAAGTGAGAGATACTGTTTCAAGATAAAATGCTTCCAAACATAGAAGTATGTAATGTGTAGAAAAATCAGCATTAGTGCTTTTTCTTATTACATGTAATTTCTTGTTTTAATTTTTCAAGTAAACGCACCAAACTGTGAATTGAATCTTTGTGCCTTGCTAAACATGTATAACTCAAAAGCTACACTTCAGTCTGTGCTTTCACCTCTCTCAAATTGCAGCACAACAGTTCTGTCAGAAGAACTCAGTCAAGGTCACACAGCTGTGCTGCATCAGGTGAGCTTTTGTTCACAGACTAGCTGAACTCCTAAGATGAGCAGTACAAAACCGAACTGAACACAAAAATAAGTTTATAAAGATGAAAGTCCAGTCAATTGTCTTGGTCTATTTTAATATGGAGAACTTAAGAGGGCAGAAATATGGTATCAGGAAAAGAAGAAGTGTAACTTTGAAGATTAAACATTAATTTTTTTTATTAATAGTCCCTTAATAGTAATAGATGCCAATTAATTTGTACTTTAATTTGTCTTGTATAGATATGGAATGTAAAATAGGACAAATAGCCTGAATCACTGCTGATCACATTACTGAGAAGAAAATACTTTGAACTGTTGCAAGGTGATTTGATGGGTGCTTGCACTGTTTTCCAGACTGACATTTCTGTTCAAGTATATTCTCAAAATTGCAGTTTCAAATTAATCCTAGCTCTTAGCCTTGAGAGGTTTTCTGTGAGCATCACAGTGCTCTTCACATTTAGAATATCATCTTAAAATGTATATCTTTTAAATGTACATCCCTTAAGATTTTTGCAGAATGATTACTCAGTTGCAGTGACTGCATTTGTTAGCTCAGATTTCTGACATTTGTTAATTTGTGTGTTTCAATTTTTAGTTTCCCCATGTCTTGCACATTGACTATTTGTTTAATATCAATTTTAGATCAGATTCTATGCTAATATAGAGAGACCATGTAACACCAAATTTGATGAAAGAACAAATATTTTCTCATATCAGCAGTTTACATATGGATGAAAGAGAAGGTTTTTTCCTAACCATATCGTGGATAGTTAGAAACAAAATTGCTTGATTTTGTAGATGTATCATTTAAGTAGTTTTATCATTAATATAATGCAATCAGAGACTGTTGTGTTTTGTTGTTTGTTGTTTTGTTGTGTTTTTTTTTTTTTTATTATTTGGGGGAAACTTTCTGTTTCCTTTTTCCTTCTCTTTCTTTCAATCCATACTTTCTTTGTAAAAGGCTACTAGAATTTCCATACAAATCTGACCATTCTCAATGACTACATCTTTCTCACGTACCTTTCAGCCTACTTACATTGTCCCCATCAGGAACTGTGAATGTTCAGGTTAATAATCTGTGAGTGTCTGCCATAGTGACAGCAATATAGGGTGAGAGTAGTTTAATCAACAGATAGCTTATAAAGACCGATTGAGGACCAAAGTGTACACTGATATTGCTGGGAGAGTAGGGTCTTAGGTGAGGTGTACAGACAACATTCTGGAAATTGAAATAATACTAAATTGTATGCTTTTGAATAAACAAGCAGATGTGGCTCCAGTTAAGATTTCTTGCTTTTGCGGGATTCAGAGAATTTGCTTTTCATTACTGGTATCAACTTTAATGGCTTCACTACATATTTTTTAGGTTTCTTAGGGTTTGCCTCTTTGTTTACTTGAAACTTCATCTAAAGTAGGTGTGTAATAGGCAATACCCTCCCTGGATGAAAGTGTATTCAGATGAGAGGATGACTGAGGATGAAATATATACAAAAGCAACCAGGGGTGGCTGGGTGTGCACAAAAACCTATGAGTTCCCCTCCATCTGCTGGCAGTAGCGCTGACGTGTGGCCAGCATAAAGTACAAGTACTCAGTGGAAGTGAGGGCATGTTTTGTCTGTCAGCAGCTCTACATGAAGTCTTATCTGTTCATTAAGCTTTCTTGTGATTAGGCTAATCTGCCAAAAAAGTGTTATTCCTGATAGACCCTGTTCCCATCAATCAGGCTCCTGGGAACTGAGCTGCAGCCATTAATCAGACCTGTATGTACTCACCACATAGCAGTCAGTCTACTGTGCTTCAGACTGCTTTAATTTCCAGTAAAATATGCATGTCTTTGTTGAAATAGGAGCGATGTGTCATGACAAATAATAATCAAGCATTTGCTGACTTCTTAGCAATCAAGGTAATTTCCACGTTGTGTCATTACTATCAATAATAGTAATCCAGTGAGACCTTCAGAGGCTGTTCTGTTGCCTCACCCATTCACCTTGATGGTCCATTGAGCAATGGATATTCCTGATGTGTTGCTATTGCAGAAACACCTGTGATAACTATTGGTAATTATTATAGTCATATGGTGTGAAAATTCAGTGTCCAGTAGCTATGTAATTATGATAGTAAGAACTTTCAGCCAGTAGGGTTACCTAATTAACTTGAACAATTCTCAAGCTATAATATTTGTTTTAATAGGCTTATTCTGTTGAGACGTGGGGATAAATGTAGTCTTTCTACATATAACACATGCCATGCATATTAGAAATATTTTATGCTTCCGCTAAATATTTTTTCTCTGATTTTAAGCTTCAATTTTATTTTATAATAGTGATTAGATAAATTAATACATTATTAAAATTGAGTTAACTGAAAAGTAACTTAATTTCAGTGACTGATAGTTGTTATTCTGAAATAACTTCCATAATTCCTTGTTTACTCATCTTTCAATGCCCATTGTTTCCTTATCTATAATAAATTTTCTTGTTTTGAAATTTGAAGGAGAAAAGGCACCACTTTGACATAGTGATAACATTATCTTTCTCCCAAGGTTTTAAATTGAGAATGTCTGTAAATAGATTTATTTTTTTTTTTGTATGGACACAGATGGCAGGTTTGTGACATTCGGCATAAACTTTATCTTCTTTATTGATAACTGATTGTCAGGGGAGTTTAAAGAAGCTCATGGGATGTTACAAATTTATTTCTGAACATGTCTGAAGGACATCTGCTGAGTTTGTAAGAGAGCTGAACAAAGCTTCACCTATTCTGTACATCAGTAGACACTCTGCAAATACAGCTTTCTGCTTTAACACTGTTGCCCCTCACACATGAGGGATTTGTGAATGCCTCCATGTATTCCATGAAGAAACATCTTCCAGAAAATTTCAAGGGGCAGAAAATTGCAGGTTGATGTAATTTTGAGAGATTTAGCAATTTTTGTTGAGTTTACATCATCAGTATTCTTCTAAGCAAAAGAGAAAAACCCTCAGCACTGTATAACCTGGAAATACCAGTGCTAGACAGAACCACAAATAGAATATACCACAGATATCTATTATTGGCTTCTTACTGCAGTGAGAAAATCTGTATGGACAGTGAATAAAAGCAGAAAGATGGCAACTGTGCATCACTATCCCTACACTTACATATATTCAAGTACCTCAGTGTTTGCTTTCAAATACAACAGATATTTATTGATTAAATACCAGCCCCCAAAACACATACTGAAGATAACCTAAAAAGAAATCAATCAAAGTCAATTAGACACAAAGGAGCAAATTTATGTATGTAAAAAGATGTAGTTTTTTTTTCCTCTGTAGTGGTATCTAAAAGAGTCCCAACTAGTCTAATCATATGCTGAAGGACTGTAAAGAAATGCAAATTCAAGTAGAAAAATAAGAACTTTCTATAATATTACTAATGTAGTTAAAACATAGATTATGTTTCTTTTTTCGGTCCAATAACAGATCCAAAGTTGATCCAAAATATCACTGTGTGATAGTAGCACTTTTTGAAATGTCTTTTTTTTTTTTTTTTTTTTTTTTTTTTTTTTTTTTTTTTTTTTTTTTTTTTTTTTTTTTTTTATATTATAGAATCAGGTAAGATAATAGCTAACACTGTGAGGTGACATGAACAAATTTAACATATATGAAATTCACTGTTGTTGATTTTTTGTGGGTACACTGATTACACAATAGTAGTACTGAGATGTGTAGACTGTTGTGGTGCAGCCATTAAATTTCTGTCTAAATTAATCTGCAAAAGCACCAGCTTTGCATTAACCTGGGGCTAGATTACATAGTATCACTTTCCTTTCTCTTCAGCTAGCAGGATCTTGTATTTATTTGGAGGCACTTAACTTATAAATTTGTCCATCTTAGCATTCAAACAATTATTTACTGATTGTTACATGCTCAATATTTAAGTCCCTATAATGGAGAAATGTAGGGCGCATTAGTGGAATGACAATAAGTTTTTAAAATTCTTGCTATCTGAGTAACAGTTTGTTCCTGGGTATACGTTTGTGAGGTGTTCTTCTCTTTCATTATTAAACTTTATTTTTTTTTTTCCACTTCCAGGAGCTGGAGTTTTCCAACCTGTTTGCAGTCCTTCACTGTATCCACTCATTCTTTGCAGCCAAAGTGGCTTGTTTGGACCCTTTGTTTGTAGGCAGCCAAGCCACAGCTTCTGCTCTTCCCACAACTTCTGGTACTGGCAAATTAAAGTATACTACTTGACATCTCATATGACAGCACTGCCACTTAACAAGGAGAGATAACAATGTATAAATATTCATAAGATTTAGACCTTTGGTGAACCATGTACGTGGAAACCAATCCTGGAGGCAAGACATCTTGCAGCATCAGCAGATAAATGGTCACGTGGGATCATAATTTCATCTCGGTTCTGCAAGACATCAGTAAATAATACTAGTCAAAACCCCAGAATAGGATGGATATGCTTTTAGTATTATCTATTTGTACTTACATAGTGCTTTAAACAACACTGGAAGCAAAGGAATAAATGATGAAATGAAGCACTTGAGTATTTAATAAAATTTTCAAATTGCTGTAATAATACACAAAAAGAATTGTCATTTTCCTGTTTTCAGATGTTTTTTATGACAATATACTAAACTCTGAGTATGAACATAATGCCCTATCATTATATTATAAATGAGAGCAAGCAGCAAGCATATAATACATGGTGACAAGGAGATAAGCATGAAAAGTCATTTGTGTAAGTATCTCCTCAAATAAGAAAGCACTTTAAGCACTGCTGTAAATCCATACTTGTGTCCATACATGGGGTCAGGCTACTTTTTCCATTATGTTCTCTTAGTCTAACAGTAACAACAACAAAGACATAGCCATACTGGAGTGAAAAATTAAAACAAAACCAAAAAAAACAAGCCACAAAAAGCAACACAGTTTTCCATGGGTAAGACCTTCTTCTTCAAGTAAAAATAATGGCATATGAATTTAATTTTAATGACAAATTAAGTGCAAGTACAAGAAATATCACTAGCTATTCACTTCCTCCTTTTTTTGGTAAAGAATACTGCAAATCTAACAGTCATTGTTCACAAGATTTTGAATTTGTTTCAGAGACAACCCACTTCATATGTTGTTTCCATGGTTAACCTTGATTTCACATCACAAGTAGGATATCTGCTCCACTCAAGCTCTCAAGAAATAGACATTTTACATTATTGTTGAAAAAATAGTTCACTCTTTGAATTCTTAATAGTTTATATTTTATAGATCTATATTGCTAGTAAAAAAATGGAATAATTTAAATAAGCTGTAATGAATAGATTACAACATGGATAATTTCTTTGTCTTTTAAGGCCATTACATCACTCTGGACCATGTGGTAGTTTGGGAGTATCATTTAAAGCTGAAATATGAGGGACTTGTAAATTTAAAATTAATAACTTTATTTAATTACAGTTTTGCAAAATAATTTAATGTTGTGCTATGGCACACATCAGTGAAGATGGAAAAAAGGTGTGAGGATGCGTGTGATATAGATGAAACAACAGAAAAGGTGAGGGATTTTTTATTTCAGCAAACAGGGAAGAGAACTGAAAAATCTACTGGAAGAACAGTTAGCAAACTACAGTTTGGGCAAAACATTTTCATTAGTAGTTTGTGGGGTTTCCATTTATTATTTAGTAATCAAAACTTTTCTTTCCCCCCCCCCCCTTAGACTTGTTAATAGCAGGTATGGGCTAGGGACACCGTCTGCCTTTTTTTAGCAGAAGGGTGAATTCTGTTGCATCCTTTTCTACATATTAGGATAATTAAAACTTTGAAAGTGAAGCCAGAGAAAAGCTTATCAAAATGGGAAAAGTTCAAAATGGAAAGAAGGGAAAAAAGATTAATGAAACGTAGGTGCAAATCATGTCTCCGTTTTTTTTTTTTTTCTTTGCATTAAAAATATTTGGATTTACATGTGTGGGAGTTACGTTGCTTTGAAGTATAACTGGTCTAACTTGATACTAGCTCCAAATAATCCAAAAATATATTTTTCTGAGGACTCTTTTATCACTTTCAAATGTTTTTCAATACACATTTAGTTCCTTTTAGTACACCTCCAAGGGCTACACTTTTTTTTTTTATTCTAAATACGATAGAATGATGTCATAATCCAGCTGTTAAATACTAATGTCATCAAAATCCAACATTTTCATAGGCATCATCATGTATTTGGTTACATGAATTGTCCTTAAATAAAGGGGTCCCATACTGGTCTCTGAGTGGCAGATAGAACTACCATGGCCGTCCATAGGATCTTGAGTTTGCTCCTGGGAGAGTACAATCCCTAAATATTTCGAATCCAAAGCCACGACAGTCTAAGAGGTTTAACAGTGGTGTCCTTGTCAAGAAAGCATGTACTGCAAACACAGATCTTGGCAGGCTGCTGACAGTGCTGAAAACAGAAGTCTGATATCTGTTAATGACTGTTCTCCTCCTCAGTGCTCCCAAATCTTCTCCTTTTTGCATTGCATTGCTGTGGCATTCAGATATCACAGTGTCGGCATATGGTAACACCTCAGTGCATGCTCTGCTGGCACTGGCAGAATCTAAAACTAGTCAGCTGCCAGTTGAATGTTTTTCCTTCAACCGTCCATGTTATGTGCACGTTTGTACCACTGAAACTGAGAGGTATTTAAGAGACGTGCTTGAATGAGCATAACATTTACCCAAACCAGCATAAAGTATACCATTGGAAATTTTTGTAGATGAAGAGATTCCATTATATGAAAGAGCCCCTACCAAAAAACCAAAATCAAAACACCAAAAATGATTGTTGTGCAGTATGGAACGAATAACATGAGCTTTTGGGACTCCACCAGGGTATCCTGAATATCTCTGACAAGTATTCTCTTTGTAGAATCCCTGTATTCATCACTGAGACTTTTGCAAGTGGGCATTAAACACGCCACATTTAAGAAACACATTAGGCTGTAAATTGATTTTTGTTTTGTTTTACTTTTGTTTTTCTAAAGAGATCAGATGGCAGGGCTTAATCAATATTTTTATTTTCAGGAAGATAGAATTGATACTGAGAGCATATAAGATGCCATAGCCTTGACTGTAGGTCAGCTTTGATTTGTTAATGCAGCAGGAGTTTGTGCAGTGACCTCACCGAATATTCAGAGGTAGCTCTGCATCCAACCTGACCCTTGTAGAGCAAGTTGGTAGAAAATTCAGTCTTGAAACAAAGAGGGAAAGTTTTAACTCTGTTTTATAAGTAATTCTGAAATACCAAAATAAAATTTACAAACATATTAAAAGGCTACATTTTTCATTTATACACCTACAAGAGGTTCCCATTTACAGCACAGTGAACTTCATATAAAACCAGAGTCAAAACTCAGGCTTTATGTTGCAGCCCGTCATTTCACACATAATATATAATGAATATAAGAATTTTATAAGTCCAGACTGCCCAGAGACAATGAAAAAACTACAATTATGAGACATCAACTTTTGCTAAAAAATCAATGTGCACATTTTAAGAAGAAAGAGCAAACTAACCAACCCGTAGAATAATTTGTAATTTATTTTCTTTATGTCATGATAGTTTAATAAAGAAAATTATTTATGGTACTGTGCCTATTTAAATGATGTTATACAGTATACCAAAAATACACTTGGTTTGATTTGCTTTGCTTTGTGATGGGAATTTTAGATAATCTGATCTTCAAAAAAGTAATCATATGATACGTTGTAGTGTTAGCATAATTTAGTTAGGGAAGTGTTACTGGTTTGAATAGATGTTACTCTTGATTTCCTCAGTAAATGAATACATTTCTTTTCCTAAACCTGTTTAAAAATACAGCTAGAAATTTTCAAAAGAGTTTTGCATTCTAGTAGCATAAAGGCATCTTTGAAATAAAGGTCAGCATATTTTTTAGCTGTTCACTGTTTTATTAATTAAGTGCAGCAAGAAGTTTGTGAAGACAAGCTAGTTGTAAGTGTGTTATTTTTTAAAACCAGTAACTGGAAGTTTTTTTCAATTCAAACTAGAATTTTTAAGAATGCAGAGCATCAATTTGCTTTGAGATGAAAATCATAAGAAGTCTTATTTTCTGAATTAGTCCTTGATTCTACAAAAATATATTTATTTGTTTTAGACATGTAGACTTATCAGAACACCTCAAAGTGCACAATTAAACAAGTTTAGACAGATATCAACACTGCAACCTATTACTTTAAATGTGATTTGGTTTATTCAATGCCTTAAGATGTTTCTTGAATAGAAAACAAATGTTAAAAAGGTTGAAGATCTAATGAATGTACAGCTGTTTTCCTTAGAAGAACTCAGCCCAGTTTTCATTCTGCTTTGAAAATTCCAAGGAAACTCTTGAAAATTTTATTAATATTAAACACTAATTCTTGCATTTAATTTTCTATTTCTTTACAGGATCTGGTCTCTGAAAAAGTATAGTGTCTAAAAGAAAGTATAGGCTGATTTTAAAATTTCTGTATCAGGGAATTATGAGTCTGTGCTTTGGACTCTGACCAGTTCAGTATGATAGGAAACATGAGGGATTCAACTCAAGCTCCCAGAATTTAAGTACCTGTCTTAGATGCCACTCAATGCTCTCAAAAGGGAAACACAAGGCAGGATTGTAGCTTAAGATATCTGAAGGTGCATGTGTGTGTCTCTGTCTCTCTCAGGAGCTAGAGGTGCTCCTACCCTAGTGCTTTAATTTTATCAGGAATGTGTTTTTTATAAAGGCTTCTGCCTAAAGCCACTCATTATGCTATTCTTCATATCACAGAGCAGTCTTTATGCACATGAACCAGTTTTATCAGGATGAAACTAAACAAGCATCACATCTATATCAGCTCCAGGTCCTAATGACCTTTCAGACCATGCAGCCCAACTGAAATGAGTCCAGAGTAAAAAAAACTCTCTGAGATGCCAACAGTGAGACCACCAGGTTCTGGTGCCAGGCGTTTCTGTGTCTGCGGGGCTGCTGCTCCTGCACTGTTGATGCCTGAAGAACCCTAAAAAGCTGAGCTTTCCAGTGTAGCCCACCAGAGCTTAGTGCCTGAAGGGGAATGCTGTGCTGTGGCAAGGGGCAGAATGAAGCTGAAAATGTCTGATACTGCCAAGGGCCAGTTATTCTGCATCTTTTTCTCTTGCCCCACGGGGAGAGAAGGTATTGGCTGCAACAGGCTACCCCATGCTGGTCAGTCTTCTCCCTGATGCATCTTTCTCCCCATCTACCACATACAAATACACACCTGAATATTTGCTATGAGGTCCCCAAGCATACTTCCCTGTTCCCTCACCTCCCTTGTTCAGACAGATGGGAAACTGTACTCTCACCTACATAATGGAGCTGCTGAGCCTTGTACACAGTCAAGGGACAGTGTTAAGGATTATGGCAAGGGCATCTGTGTAGCAGTAAGAGTGCTTAAGTGTGATTAACATTCAGGTTATAGCAAATTCATATTTGTGCTTAAGTGCTTTCCTGACTTGGAGGATTCTGAAGTGGAATTTTAGTATTTTCTGGGAATGAGTTCTATAATGTCAACACATTTCAACTTGCTTAGCTCAATTTTCAGGAAGTTTAGTAGAGACAGTGGTTCATATCTTGTTGGAATAATAGAAAAAAAACATAGGAATACTGGAATAAAAACAAATTTCTGTTCTGATTCTGTATATTATTACAGTACATTACATGATCTATTAAAATATATTGAACAATTTAAAACTAAATGCTTTCATTTACATTACCTAGTTCCACTATGGTATACATGGCTTCCACTTTCAACAACTTTCTCCACAGGAATCCCAGCTATATATTATAGAAATTCTTTTATTATTCAGTATATACTAATATATAATGCAGCGTGTGTGTATGTGTGTGTGCGTGTGTGTGTGTGTATATATTAGTATATACTAATGGAAGATATTCAGTATATATAATGAGAGCTACATATTAGGCACAACTATAAAACAGAAGCATAAATCCATGAAGCTTTACATTTAAAAACTTATAATACTATAAAGAAACATATGTATATTAGTTGAAGAAATGGCTATTTTTGCAGGATATGCACAGTCTGGGTATATGATAATAAATTGATAAACACTAACTAATTTACTATTTCATACCTCCAGGAACTTTTTTTTTTTTTAATTATTCTTATCCCTTTAGCATATTTGCAATATATATCATAGGTTTTGATTTGTTATGGATAAAAATGACTGAAAAAATGTAATAGAAAGTGCTATATATTTTATAAATATTAGAAATTTAAGAAAAGCTATTCAAATTATTTATTTCATTTTTAGTTAAGGTTTTGTGATTGTTTGTAATATGTATTTGTGACAAGCATAAATCACCTAGTTGTTTAAGCCCATTAATGTACCACTAA